TTGTTTTCAAATCTCTCCATAGCCTTCCCTGTAATCTCCTCCAGTCCGATAAATCTTAACGATATCGGCACTCCTCACTCTGCCACCCTGATTTTAATCGGCCCACAATTGGTGACCACATCTTCAGTTATCTAGGCTCCAAGCTCTGTAAATGTCTTGTTGTAGTCTTCTGCCTCTATCATATTTTCCTTCTTTAGATTTAGATTTAGACTTTATTGTCACAAGTCCTCAAGCACAAAAGTTCAGGAGTACAGTGAAAAATTTTCAATGTCACCACACAAGGCACCATCTTTGGTACAAAGTACCTAGGTACAAAAACTTAAGAACACGGTAGAAAGAAATAAGGAACAAAAGTTAAAAGCTAAACATTACTGTCACTTAGTGTAGTGTTAAAAAAAAGTTAAAAGTTACAGTCCTTCTTCGTATTAAGTCCAAAGATAAATAAAGCTAAAACTTCAAATATTGCAGCCTTTCTTAAGTACTTAGCCATTCTGGGACCACACTTTCTACAAGGACTCAAACTCCTCTGCTTTGGCATGTTTACCCCACCTGCTGTCATCAACCCTGCAGATGTCAGGGGAACCTCCATTGCTACATTGGGCCTGCTCCTGGACTCTCAGAGTGCCAAAGCTTTGATCCAGGTGTCGTCCGTGTCGAGACCTGGCCTCACCTTTAGTCTGCGCACTGGGCAGCAGGAACTCACCGAAAGTCCTGGGTCAGGCCGCCAGCCGCTGCCTCACACTGGGTATCTAGCAGACTGCCAAATTCAACAAGCCCAATATTGCTGCCACCACTGCCTCTCTCTAGAAGGTAAGTCAGTAGAAAAACGGCCAAAAAAAATCTAAAGCTCAAAGATGAGAAAAGAAGAATAAAGAAGAGGAAGAAGAGCAGACAGAGTGGACGAGCCTACTCCATCACCAAAATCTACCTTGTTGACCAAACTTTTAGTCATACAACTTAATACATCCTTATGTGGTTCATTGCCAAATTTTGTTTTATAAAGCTTCTAGAAGCACCTTGTTTAAAATATTAAAGCTGATTTACTAATACAAGTTGTTAAGATGGAAGCACCTTTCTTAACGAAGAATCCGTGTCGCTAATTGGCAATCTCTTGTGTGATCACCACAGCCTGAGATAATTTCACACAGTTGCAAATTTAGCCACATAATAGAAAAACATATTCTCATTTTGTCTAACACAAGACAGCCAGCTGAAGAACAGGTTAACCATGTTCAGGCTGCCTCTGATGGCAGAGTCTGAAGACTCAATCACTGCAATTCTCTCCCCTTCTTACTCTCTCTGGGATTCAATTCCCCCTCCTCTTCTGAAGGTGTTGATGCTCACAAGAGGTCAGCTTTCCCCTCCTCTCCTGAAGGTGATGACTCACTGGTCTCCTCAATGCAGATGGGTTGCAGTGAGTGTTTTAATCCTATATTAAAGAGTTCTTACTCCTTTCCCAACATGAACATGCACAAAAATATTCAATCTATTGCTGATTTCCAATGTTGTTTAACATAAACATTAATGTAAGGAAACCTGTTGAATTAATTGGATCTGTTCAATATGTTCAAGGACAGACTTTTTAAGAGAACAGAGCTTTCAACCAAATATGGATTTCTTAAAATATTTTTTCAGGATAATAAAGTCTAAGTAAAGAAAACAAAGCATTGGTCTATTTATAGCCTCTCCAGATACTTTAAAATTCATTCCCAGGATGTAGACGTTGCTGGCATTTACTGTCCTTCCATTGTTTGATACAAATATAATTGGCTTGTTAGGCCATTTCAAACTGTTATTGAGGGAAAATCACTTCGGCATGCAACTGGAGTCACTCATTGACCCAGACCAAATGAGGACAACAGAAGACAAAAAATAACTCCATAAAACTGTTGATTACATTCATGTTTCATACACCCATGTTCCCGACACAGGTCCACATATCAATCACTCACCCCATGTTGCTCCAACTTGTGTTTCAAACATATGTCTGTGTTCTGTACATGGTATTCTGTACACCTGTTGGTGTATCAGGCCTGGTCAAGCAGTGAAAACCTTACATGTGCTTTGTACTGTTTGAGGGCACGAATTTAGCTAAAAACATTTCTACAATATCACAAATTCTCAATGTGAATTAAAATAAACAAAGCTATTTCACGTTGTTTAGTGATGTGGGAACATGTGCAAAGGAAATGTTCCATACAGAATCCTGCCCTCCTGATCAGGAGTAAGGCTGCGTTTCCAATCTGTTTTAACATTAACCATTTGGATGTAAAACTCATAAGCAAAATTGCTTCAGTTTGCAGTTAACACTAAATTAGGAAGTGGGTTTGCAACAAAGTCTGAGAAAGTAAGCCTGTAGATTTTAATGCAATAGCAAGAAATTAAATTTAGATCAGAATATAAAGCAGTTAATGCAGAAAATAGGAACTGTAGAGCTGCCACAGTCCAGCAAGGAATAATGTAATTGGAATGTTGAATTAAGTGGTTAAACAAGTGAGCAGGGGACTAGGCCTCAATCTTAGGAAAACCAAAAGAACTGCAGATACCGTAAATCAGAAACAAGAATAAAATGCTGGAAAAGCTCAGTGAGTCTAGCAGCATCTGTGTAGAGAAATCAGAGTTAATATTTTGAGTCTGGTAACCCCTTCCTTAGAACTGATGGGAGCTGGGAAAATGTCAGTTTATATGTGGAGGATATGGTGCTGGTGGCATGGGGGGTGCACAAGAAGTAAGCTTTAGCTGGGGATAGAGCCCAAAGAAAACAAAGGGCCTTATCTACCCAATTGTTCTGCCCTCTCTTTGGGCTGTATCCCCACCTATCATTTGCTCCTTAAGCCCTCCCCCCAACCTACCTTCTGCATATAAACCAACATTTTCCTAGCTACTATCAGTTCTGAGGAAAGGGTCACCGGATCCAAAATGTTAATTTTGATTTCTCTCGCACTGCTGCTCATGTCCTGCTCAGCTTTTCCACCAATTGCTGTTTTTGTCTCCAATGTTAAGAGTCATCTTTGTCAAAAAAACATGGGAAATTCAGCCAGCCAGACTAGGGAAATAACACAAGACGAGTTCCAACAATTAAAGAAAGGGTTAATTCATTTCTGGCCATATGTGAATAGTCAGTTTACCAATCCTCCACATGCAATATCCACTCTATATGATGCAATATTAAATTGTTCCATTTGTGTTTAACTGAAATCATGGAATTTTGTAATGCAGAAAGTTGTTTGACCCTTGTGCATATGCCATCCATCAAAATTAATGCTTTAAATATTTATTCACTTTCCTTTGAAAAAAAGGACTGGATTATGATTTCTCTTGGGTATGGTACATGTTCTTACAGGGTTGATGAGAACATTTGCTCAATGACCAAGTGTCATTGAATTTTATCTCCCCATCACATTTTACTTTCCATTTTAATTCTGGGTTAGTTTCCAAATTTTCTACACAAATCTTGCATATTAAACCATATTGCAATCAATCAGCCAAATGACAAATCTGATGCAGTATCATAGTTATCAGTTGTACACTGTTTTATTATTGAAATTCCCAGAGATGTTATCATGCTAGCCTTCACAATTTCCCAGTAATATGCCCTAAACACCCATCATCCCTACATCTCAAATCAAGTCAGATTTTGAAGGGGGTTACCACCTTAACAGTTGGGCACTTTAGAACTCTTATTTCCTTAAACTTTTCCACTTCAAGACCACCCGATTTCACTTCCATTACCTATCAACAGGTAAATGACTATACCTCAGGTTGTACTTGAATAAAGCTTGCTATGTTCAAAAGCTTACATTCATTTGATGAAATTGCACAACAAAATAGATTAAAACTGCAAATCAAGACAGTTAGGTTTTACTGTCTATATATGTAAGCAATTGTGAAGTTACAAAAAAAAAAATGCTGCAAATACTCTGGTCTGGCAGCAGCTGATCAACTTAATTCAAGTTACTAAGCTTGTGTTGCTTTCAATTTTGCCCAAAAGCATGTATAATTTACGTTAGCTGCAAGCACTGGCCTAACAGCAATAGCCCATCAGGTCAAAGAGAATAAAATGGATGATTCTAAAGTAAAGAGGCAGATAAACACAATGGCAAAGATTTTAGTTACAGCAAGTTTCACCTAATTGATCTGTTTTTAGTCAAGATGTTTAAAGCATGCCAGAAACTCAATAGAATCAACATTCATCATTTACTAATTAAGAAAACATGCATTTACAGCACAGGCCATTCAGCCCAACAGATCATTGGTCATGTTTGTGTTCCACCCAAATATCAAACCATTAACTGATTTTTCACTCTGTACTTATCTCAAACCCCATTGTACAGTTTTGACTTGTACTCATGGCCTGTAGCCAAAGAACTATCAAATGCAGTGACTATTGTGAAAGATAAATTAAACAAAATTGGAGACCACACAAGACAAAAGCAGTGATTAAGTTTACAAGCTTAGGCTCAAGTCAGCAGATGGGAGACAAAACTGAACAAAGTAACCACTAGCAAAATGAGATTATGAGCAGACAGCAAGAGCAATGCAGTGGCAAAGAATAAAACAAAAATTCAAACACTTTTTTTTTTACAAAACCCAAAAGATTTATTTATAGTACTTAACCAGAATATACAAAGTAGTGGTCAAGCATGAACTAATGAGGTATACAAATTTAACCTTGTTCAATATGGAAAGAATGATGCTACTTAATCAAATTACTTTTTTAAACCACATACAGGGTTTTTAAGCATAGGTTACAATGAGTTCAAAAAGAAATTTACAAATTGAACCGGTCAATTTTTTGCTGGAAGTTTTGTTTTTGCACCACAAACAATATCAAACAGCGACAAATTGTGGAGCTTGAAGAATGTTAAATTTTTTTGTTACATTTTTGTATTTTTGTACAGAATAGAAGACCAGGTTTATTTGCCCCCAACCCCCCTGCCCTGTTAACAAGACCTATATCTTTGGCCTTCATTGCATAAGAAGCTCTACCCTAAACACAATTTACAAAAAAAGAAAAAAGGGCAGTTTTTATTTTCTTGAAATAAGAACATGGTCAGTCAACTGTAAAGTATGTGCTTTTAAAGTGTACAAATCCAAGTTGTAAACCCATTTCAAAACAGACCTGAAAAACATTTATTACAGCATTCAAACCCATTACAAAATGTGGTTGTACAAAGACCATATAATAAATAACTTCATAAAAAACATATTCCCGAGAGCAATGCCTTGGACAGGTGTTACAGGAGCCAGTTGTACAGTATAAAACCCACACTGCAAGTGTACATTTTAAAAAAAGCACAATCTTTACAAAGTGAACTGGACCACACCATCAAGATATAAAAATTCAAACAAAGGAATGTTTAAGCTTCTGCCTTGGGTTCTGTTGACTCTCCATTTTCTGACTTTTGCCTCTTCTTTTCAACTTCACCCTGTAAGAGGAAAAAAATGTTCAGGAAAACTATTGAGGGCAGTGACAAAGGCTTTCCTCTGGAACAATGATACTGCAGCATGTATTTCTCTAGTGAATGTGCCTCAACTTCCATGACTCAAATCTGTAAATTCATAATTTCATTCCCCTCAAACTGATTTTTAAGACTCAAAAACTTGGACCTCAAACCTGTTATCACACTTTGCAGAACCAAGGAAGTGTCTCAAATGACTGTAGACAAGGCACTAAGTCTACTGCAGGATGAAGATATTGTCAATCTGACAGATACGGAGCCTCCCACAATTCAGTGTGAAATTTGAAGCATGCAAGTGACTACACTGCCTTACTTTAAGGCAAGTGATACACGTACCTGCTCCTCAGCCGGACGCTTCACTGCATGCCCATCTGTATCGTCTTCTTCCTCTGCACCCTCTTCCTCTTCACCATCTTCTTCTTCACCTTCACCCTCAGCTGAAGATAAAACTGGCGATTTACCAAAATCTTCTATACAAAAACTCAAATCACAATGTGACCTGCCAGTGCATCAGGCTAGGATTACAAGCAAGATTTCATCACTATCCAAAATATTTTCCATGTTAACTGCAATTAGGGGGAAATGCACCTTACTTGGGAGCCAAGAAAAGCTTGATCAAAGTCTCATTTAAAAACACTAATTTACCTCTTTGTAACAGTAATAGCAATGTATTTACACATACTCTCAAATCTCACTCCAGTATTATAAGTTTTCTAGATGTTCCTCCTACTTACCATCTTCCTCTTCCTCCTCTTCCTCATCTACTTCCTCTGCATTCTCATCTGTGTGCTCGTTTCCATTCTCTTCCTCCTGAAAATGCAAGCATATGATTAGGGGAAAAAAATAAAAACGTAGCTTAGATTTTTTCAGCTGAATGCTCAGTTGTCAAACAGTCCACCAATATCAAGCAACTAATTTTTATCCTTTCAGGAGAACCAACCGGAACTGTCTGTGTCATGAAATGATTACCATTGTAATTGAATCCCCTACTTGCACCAATCCAACTCATCACCCCACCCCCAAATTGTTAAGATGTTTACAGGCTTCTTACAACTGAATGCAGGTTTAGTCACACTTCAGGGCTTATGGTTAAGGATACTGTACAACGTATGAAATATGTTTGCATGACTATCAGGACAAAGGCCATTTACGTGTGGGCGTAAGTATTAGCAGTACATTCTTAATACTGAACCTTCTCAGTTGACTTGTACATTGAGCAAGCAGCAACTAAATTTGGGAAAAAAGTTCCCAAAAGTCACAAAAAACCAAGTTAAGTGTATTGCTAGATGTCGAATCTTTCGACAACCGGAGCTGTTGGAGGTACCTGGCAAAGTGCCCGAAGGGGGTGTGGTTTAGGTACACGAAATCGTGTTCATCAAAATTTAATGATCACGGAGTAGCTGCATTGTTTGAAAGATTGATTAGCCGTTCGACAAAACTACCAGTCATGCCAAGTGAAATTATCCACCACCATAGACGCTAATACCTACTGTTCCATTTGCTGGCGCGTCTCCGCTGCCGTTTTCTTTCTTCTCAACCTCCTCCACAGCCTTTTCTTTCAGATCCTGCAAAGCCCCAATAAAAACTAGAGGGTCAGAAAGCTGCTCAGGTATCACCCGACGGCGAAGACTTCAATGAACAGCTCACATGAAATCTACAACTGAAGTAGTGCACTTTCCTTGCTCGTGTTGGAAATTAGCCGCCACACGGAAACCGCGCTCCGCAGCGAGGCCGAACTTGTCTGACGCCGGGACCCAAGCCCCCAGCCCCGGAGGGGAACAGGAGAAGCGAGGCAGCGGCCGCTGCAGTACACAACTCGTAGAATGTTTTTTTTTAAAAAAATTGGGATATTTTGTTTTTTGCGCCAACATTTTTTTTTAAAAAAAGAAATTGGACGTTGGTGGCTGGAAACAGTTAAAAACAGTGCAGTCGACGGTTAGACGTTTCCCCCTTTTTTTATTTTAAAAACAATCTCCTGCTTCAGTTGGGGGGGGGGGGTGGTTGGCTCACCCCAACTTCAGACCCAGCTCGCTGCAATCAGAGCCTTGCTGCTGCACCGAGCACCAGGCGGTGGCTACACTGGTGCAGCTGCACTAGCTGCTGCGCGGGGCGCTCTCTCCTCCTTTCTTCTCTCCCCCACCCCCCAACCGCACACTCAACGTTTCCTCTCGGGACCCAGGGAGCAGTGCGCGTGCGCACAGGACGCCCGCTACCTCCCCTTCCCCCGCCTCCGCTTGGGGGAGACGGCAGCCCAAGCCCCGCCCTCTGCAATGCCGCGCGCCGTCCCCCGCCCCACGCACGCGCACCTCTCCCGCCGTTTTCTTCGCGAAAGATGTAAAGAGCGGGAAGCGGGTGCGCGCGCGCGACCCCGCAGGCGGCGGTTGTTTGGGTTTCATTTAAAAAAACCCACACTACAAAACAAGGCTGAGGAAAGGAGCAACGCCCGATGAGTGTCTCGCTGTCCCCTCTCAACACCGACCGACAGTCAGCCCGATCATTGAGCGCTTAGTCCCGCGGCTCTGAGGCAAGCAGCTGGGGGTTCAGGGAGACGGATCGCATCGCGCCAGGGTCCTTCCGCTTTCCCCCCCCACTCACAGGAACGCAGTTTACCCACTGAGCGGGGGGGGGGGGGGGGTGTAGTCTCCCCAGGAACACAACCTGGTAGTCCGGGAGGGAGGCGAGGGGGCCAGTTGAGTCTCGGAGGGACTGAAAGCTCCGGAGACGACGGGGAGGTCAGCTCCCGGAACCCACCAGAGACCGATATCAAGTGATCCGAAATCCCGGCGGGACCCGAATAACCCCCTCAGGATCGAAGATAGATGAATGTGGTCCCGAAGTGATCGGAGACCGCCTCTACGACCAAAATGGGGGTGGGGTGGAGGAATAGGGTTCCGGAGCAAGCTGTTGCCTCCCCCCATCACTTGCGGGACCGAAGGAGGGGATGAGGGTCCCGAACCTACCGAAAACCAAAGCGGGATTTAGGATACCAAAAACAACACGCGGGCACCCGAGAAGGGTGAAATGGGCTCCCAGCGTGGTCCAAGCCATTCGTCCCGGGGGGATCGGCGAGGAAGGCGGTGGGGTCCCGTAAGGAGCGAGTCCCGGGCGCTCGAACCGATGTTGTGAGCGGGCGCGGGAATATCATGAAGCCGGCAACTCATTGATCGCCGTAAAAGCTACACACATCGGGTTCTCCAACCGCGCATCGCCCATTGAACGACCCAAGCATCGGAATCTGGCTCTAAAAACCTGGAGCCGGGCACCTAAAACCCCCGGAGCGCGAGTAAAAGCTCGGTAATAACCAAGCAGAATCCTATTGAACATTAATTAAAGCGACTCCGGCAACATCCAAACCTCAGCAGCTCCGATGTCGGAGCCACGCTTCACGTTCACATTCTTCCATTAATAAGTTTACAACTTCTAAAAAAAAATTAAAAAAAAACTTAAAGCCTGAACAAACAGAAGGGGAGGGGGCATACAAATTCCACAAACCCACCCCCCCCCCCGAAAACAAAAACCATCGTTAAAATTACATTCAACTCTGGGTACCAGATTATTTCGCAATTAGATACCATGAGTTGTGCGCACGCTTCACACAAAGCGAAATTAGAGATAACAAAGGAAACACGAGGAAGGTTAAACATAAAAAAAGAAATTTATTTTTAAATTACACTTTTTGGTTAAAATAAATTTCTCACCTTGGGATTTACCTCTTTGGGGGCGTCCACTACGGTATCAGCCATTCTGAGTAAGTTTAGAGTATATACAAATAGTTATATATTTTAAAAATAGACTTAAAGTAGGTGAAGGCTGATTTATCACTTAGGGCTACAGACAATTTCCTCCGTATACTTCCCTTTAAATCTCACACGCTGTGAGGAGAAATGAGATGCCGTTCACCGCGCTCACCCTCTTAATACCTCCGCTCCCGGACATACAGCTCCACCTTCCCTACCTCCAATTTGTCAGATCTACCGTCCATCATTTGCCGAGTGCAGCCCATCTCGCCAGCCGATTGGAACTATGCTAATATATCGCGTGGTGATTGGTGACTCTGCTGATTATACAAAGCGCAGCGATTGGCTGTATGCTAATTTCTATTTCACTGCGTTCTATTCCAGCTGGCCCCGCCTCCAGCGACTGTCAATCACTTGGATCAGGTAATTCCGATTGGACTGTAATTCAATCATCTCTGGCTCCTTCTCACTGACAACCCCCAAGATGTCGCTCAGTATCAGGAGCACTTGCAATTGGAAAATGCCGCTCATCCTGTCGATCGATTGGCGTTGCTTGTAGCAGCCCCGCCTACAATTCTAAATACGCTTCGACCTGTCGCCCATCTTGATAAGAAGCTGCTTTTCACTGGCGCTTCATCTGTGAATTATTAACGCCCTTCATTATAATTGGCTCTAACGTAAAGTCTCACCTTTCATTTGCATTGCCTATCCCTTAGAATGTCCCAGTTTGCTAATTAATCTGATTGGTGCCTTCTAAAAGGTCATTTTTGCCACTGTACAGAAGACTCTTGGGTTGGAGCTTCGTGTTTTGTAGTTTGATTGACATTGGAATTTTTTTCTCTTTCCACTAACAAGATCCATTTCATTATGTATTTACACCGTTACGGCAAACTGAGTCAATACTTTTTGGATGTTTGCAAATGAATAGCTAAATACTGACTTTAAAACCAAAACAGTATGTAAATAGTATGTATATTATCTGGTATTTGAATTTCAAAATAATCGGTTACAATTAACTTTTGTGAAAGTGGTTTCAAGTTCTTGATAAAGTAAATCATTAACATCACAAAGTATTTTGATTCGAAATGGCGACGCAAAGTGCATTAATAATATATCTAGTTCCGGATTTTAAATCCACCCAAACCAGGCTTCTTACCCTACCAGAAGCGTTGCTTTGGAAATAAATTTACACTGATTATTACTGTTACTGTGTTTTCCCGGATTTTACAATTTGTCTGAAATTTAATGTCAGAAATTGTTGCGGTCTGGTTACTTGTTTCCGGCTTGGAACACGTTTCAGCGCAACAGACATGGTTGTTTTTTTTGCCACATGTGGTCAGGTGCAATTCTCTCACCTTTCTCCACGGCGGACCGTTTCCACTTACGAACAAGCGAATTCATCGTATAAGCGAATTCGTCTCACTAGGCAAGAGTGCGAAGCTGTAACACAATGGAAATAAATCGTAAGAGTGCAGCGTATTTGTCCTTAGCGAGGCTTAATTTGAGTTACAGTTTTAACGGATCCATGGCGACTTTTTCCTCGTTTTTCTAAAAAAAAGTTGACACACCAGTTCCAACGCGATGTAATTTTTTTGGCAACCGAGTGATCCTTTGGGCAAAACGACCATGCTGGGAGTATGCTAACTTTTTATATGATACCCTGCAGTGGATAATTTGGTATTTTAACAGTGTCAATCTCAATTTGTTGCACATTTTTCATCTTCGAATTGTTTTCAAAGGAAGCACTCACATTAAGTTTATTCTCTTGTTTCATATTTCCGGTACATCCAGGATACATTTTAAAGTTTATGGGTTTCTTTCGGTAACTGGCAGGAAATCCTTGTTACCTGTTGTACCAACATGTTTTACCTGGCGATGGCTGTCTGAGTACAGCCGAGTCGGAATACCTTTTTTCCCGCCTTTGGCAGCGTGCCACCTATTTACTCGTGTGGAGAAGTTCCTTTTGTTTGATTGTGAACATAGTTTCTAACAGTCACGCATATCGAAACTGTTGCAACACTGCCCTAAGCAGATTAGTAGTACTCGTTTCTTACTACTTTTAGGAGTGTGTAAGTAGGAATCTGTTAAACTCCACAACTCAATAAAAAGCTCTTTATAACAATATGATTGTTAATTTATTTACCTTCACAAGCCAACTGGACGAGATCGTGAAATTGAATGCGTACATTTTTCACTTGGTCACGCCGTTTAATTTGATACCATCTAACACTCAGAATTTGATTCCAGTCTTTTCATTGAAATCACACACATTCCTCTCCCAATCTTCTCTAATTCATTCTTATCTGAGATTTCAAAATTGTTGAATTCTTCTTCCTTTCTATAATTTACCAGCTTAAACAAAACAAACATAACGTCATCAACCACCGCCTCCGATTAACGTGGTCTTCTCGTTTAGCCTTGATGATGCTCTGCACTAAAGCTTGACCTTTCACCTTCGTCTTTGATTAGAAAACTTTTTCTTCCAAAAGCCGATCGGAACAAAGCAATGTGAGTTTCAAAAACGTACAAATCAAAAATCCTTTTTATCCAATTTCGTTTGATATAATTAATCCACTGAAGCCTAACTGTTATAAAACCACAGAGATGGGGAAGATCCTAGTTGCGGTCCCTGGACTGTGCATCATCGATTTATGTCATTTAAGGGAATAATAGAAAAGATGTAGATTAGTCTTAGATTATTTAAAGAGGAAACAGAATAGGCATAGTAACTTTAATCAGGTTTCCTAGTGATTTTGATCTCCCAGCTACCCCCAATCAGCCCGTTACTTTCACTTTTTGTGTTGTCATGTGAAGAGTAATCATGAGTTCCTTTTGGAGAGAAGATAAAACAAAATCAGCGAGGAATTATTGTACTGATAATCCTGCCTGGAAAAATAATACTGTACTCTTATTTAAGTTCCATCTTAGAAGGTGAGCCACTTCTCCAGTGAATAGTCAACAGTAATGATTAGGAGTTCTTTTCCTATTAAGAATAGTATATGATTCCAAATATGGTAAATTCCCATTTAAATGTCTTTGTCTCACTTGAACAGCCTCAGTTATCATTTTCTGTATGTCGCTGTGCTATATCTGTCCCATTTTTGAATCAACCCTTGCCCTAATCCAAATCATGGATAATCATCAATTCAGCAACATTCAAACCAAGCTCCATATTTCATTCTTATGCATTACAAGTGCAATACTGTTAACTGGCCCTTATGTAATAGAGTCTGGGCGGTGTCAGTCCAGTTCCTCGTAAGTCAAGAACAGTACACAAACTGCCCTTTACTTTGGCACTAATTAGAAATCTTACTGTGAGAGACCATGGAATGAATGTTGTGGGAAATGGGAAAATGTCATACCAGGGTCATAAAGATGCTTATTCTTTGTTAGCATGAAGGCGTATTGGTGGGGCAAGTATGTTTTTTTATTGTGTCTGATTATTATCATACCTTACTGAAGAAAAGAACAGGTTTGGAGAGATTATTTTATGCCAGTGATTGTTAGGAAATAAGAAGCCTAACTGGAAACAGCAGTGGAAGTAGGATCCACTTTGAAAAAGTAAGTGGATAAATATTTTTCCAAAAGATAAAATTGAAAAGGTGTGGGAAAAAGAATAGGAT